TATTTCTTCATAGTTGTTTTCATCTATAAAATGAGGTCATTTTATTTTCACTGGTTTTGACATTTGACTTTTACGTTTTTTGCCAAAATAACAGTTGATTCAACTTATGTGTATTGTGAGTCTTGAAAAAAATTGACTTACTAGATGTCATCTTTCAAACTTTCACAGCTTTCAAGAATCGTACGGTAACAATAGAACTGAAGAAAAGAATTAAACTGAAATTGACTTCACTGTACTTTCCTTTTGTAAATTGTTATTATTTCAAGTTCTATTAAAGCATAGTTTTGTAGGCATAATGTTCACCCTAACGTTATCATAGCTTAATCTGCAGTACCGATCCCGGCCGACTCCACAAAAGTTGCTAAAACGTCTTTCAAGTAAAAACCGCGAAATGATAAATGAGCAAATCTGAAAATGGCTATAGAATATAGGGCAACAGTGCATTGGGTACACGTTTATAAAGTCAAAATATGATCTTTTTCTGTAAAAAAAAACTGGAAACCCCCTTAAGAGCCTTTTGGCTTCAGCAATTCCAATAAATACCGAAGTCCTACAATGGCCTTTCTTCGCACTTCCGGTTTGAAGTGCCCCAAATTAGGTTCTTTGGGGGGTTATGGTTTTTACTATGATTCTAAGCTTGCCAAACTACTAAGGAAATTAGTTGTACTTATGAGAAAAGCCAACTTGTGTGATGACTGTGTGTAAATAGCAATAGTAACAAGTATAAGCATGTTTCCCTGTGTGTGGATACGACGTTCAGCACCAAGGACAGGGGTACAAAGTAGCTTGCCTGGATTGTGTTATCAATGAGAGGGTGTTCATTTTCGGTTCGACCAATGAGAGAGTGGCTACACGCCCATAAAATATTTGTATTTTCGTTTTTTATTTCGTTTTTTTTTTTATTTATATTTGCGGGAGGTGGGTCGGGTTATGGCTTCAGACTATTTATAAATAGTCAAGGTTAAGCTTGAATACCAACTCTTGTCGAGATGGACGTTATGTTTGACAGACAAGTTCGAAATGCGTGTGTAATTGATTCTGATTGGTTCTCTTTTCGCTGAATTTTTGATGGTCGATCTGGATTGGATGAGAACTTAATGAAATTATGCCGTTATGCACATCTGTGTGTAATTTCACACGTGTGCAGACAGGTGGCGCGGTTCATTCGACCTCGTGTGACGCATGTTGTTTGTGCGGAGTTGTTTTTGCAACTTTTGTGGTGAATTTTCGTCTTTTGCCGTTTTTGGATTGAAAAATATCGAATGAAACGTGTAAAGTAAATATTGGGGATGCTTCTGTGGTGGATTCATCCCGCTCTTTGGATGTTTGAAGGAGAAAATGCGCATTTCCTGACCTGGAGTTTTGGACAAGAAAAGGAAAATGGCGACTGTCGGGCCGCGGGAAGGGTGGCGTGGTGTGGTGTTGGAGAGGTTCATTTTCAGAAGGTAAGGCAACAAACTGTCTCTTTAAATGTGTTCTAAACAAACCTGTAACTACGAAGTAGTATATTCTGAGCAAGCATGTGTGTCTACAAACTTGTCTCACAGACGATTTTATTTTGCTTTTGTATATTTTGCCTCTGCGTTGTTTTGGAGAACAGTGAATGTATTTCCTTCGTGTCGAGTGATGACGCTATCAAAAAATGGACCATTTAGCGACGGAAATGACTGATTTAAAGATATTTTGTTTGAAATCTCCTCTGACGTGGTGAGTCTGGCTCACCGCGTATCGAGTTGTGCCGCACCTTGGTAATTTTCCCGCCAAAAAGTTGTGTAAATTTTTTAACAAGGCTTCTCGTCAGCCTGTTGTGTCCTGGTCCTCACTCATACTGCGTACTTTCGTGTCTCCCAGTGATTATTTAACCTGGTTTTGAAGTGGTTTACGCTTTCTGACGTGACTACATTGTCTGGTAGGGATTTCCAGTTGTTAACAGTTCTGATACTGAAGGCTTGACTTCTCACCCGAGTCTTTGCCAGTGGGTGTTGGGGTGACCTCTAGTTACAGATTGTTCAACAGGAGTGAAGGAACTGTGAACTGGGACCCTTTCAAAACCTTTCATGATTTTGAAAACCTGAATCATGTCTCCTCTCTGTCGTCTGTACTTCAGCGTAGTAGCCCTTCTCTGCACTTTTTCCAGTTCTTGCTTACCCGTCTTGGAATGTGGCCCCAGATAACATTAGGCCATGTTGATTTGATTATATGGATAACATCCGCGCGCGCATCATCAATTTTCGGCCGTTTCCAAAAAAAAAAAAGTTTTCAACCATTCTGTAAATCGTACAAAACAGTTGCAAAATGAGCAAATATATACTCTAAGTTGCACACAAAATTTTGGAAAACAATAACAATGTCGTGGGATGTCAAAACCAAACGAAAAAGACGAAAATGCAAAGAAATGAATTTGAAGAGTAGATTATTCGCCATACCATACCCTGTGTCATTTGTTCAACCTTCATGACCACGTAGATTTCATAATGAAAGCAACTTCTTTTTTTGCAAAACTTTTTTTTTATTCGCACGCACGCTTCAGTTTTGGGGTTCCCAGAGGATGTCATCCATATAATCAAATCAACATGGCCTTACCATATTCCAGGTGTGGCATAACCATTGTTTTGTACAAGATCGGTAGTGTTTGTTCATCCAGATTGGTAAATGATCTCTTCATCAACCCCAGCATTCGGTTCCCCTTGTTCTTAGCAGCTACTCTGTGTGCATGGAACTTGAGGTGATGATCAATCGTCACTCCCAAGTCCTTCTCAGCCTCAGTCTTTTCCAGTTCCTGGTGTATATCTAGTGGAGGTGGAGAACTTAACACTTGGTCTCGTTAAAAGGGAGGACCATAAGATATTAACTGGGAACTACAATCGCAACGCAATTGCGGTGTCTGCCCAAAAGATGCCGACTGTCCTAGTATATGGGTGGCTGGGGTTTGGGGTTACTAAGTCCTGCTGTAGAATGTCCTGACCATTATTCCCCTTTATATTGTGGTATACCTCGTAAATTTACTTGATGTAATTTGAAGCAAGTATCTAACTTATGTTGTATAGCTAGATGGCTGCTGACGGATGCAGTAGTGATGGCTCCTGTCTTAACCTGACCAGACATTGGACCGGTGATTTGAAGACCCTGTATAAATACAAGGTGAGAAAAACTGAATTCTGTATTTTACCTACCATTTACAGTGTTATTTGAAGCAAGTGTTTTAACTTATAATGTTCTATAGCTAGGTGGCTGCTGACTGATGCAGTAGTGATGACTCCGATTGTCTGAACCTGACAAGAGATTAGGCCTGACCAGACCAGACCAGACATGGTGATTTGAAGACCCCGTATAAATACAAGGTGAGAAAAAAAATGAATTCTGTATTTTACCTACCATTTACATAGTGTTATTTGAAGCAAGTGTCTAACATATAATGTTGTATAGTTAGGTGACTGCTGACTGAAGCAGTAGTGATGACTCCTGTCTGAACCTGACTAGAGAAGTTTGGACCAGACCAGACCTGGTGATTTGAAGATCGCAGACGAACACAAGGTAAGAAAATATGAATTCTGTATTCCCTATCATTTACTAAATTGTGTTTTGAAACAATAATGTTGCATAGTAAGGTGAGTGCTGACTCCTGTCTAAGGCCGCCAAGACAAGACCAGACCTGGTGATTTGAAGCGAGTGTCTAACATATAATGTTCTATAGTTAGGTGGCTGCTGACTGATGCAGTAGTGATGACTCCTGTCTAAACCAGAGAAGTTTGGACCAGTGCAATGTGATTGGAAGATAATAGATAAATATATGGTGAGAAAATCTGAATTCTTTAATTTCTATTTCTATGTCTAAATTCAAGGAGGTTAAATACTTATATTTAACCTCCTTGCTAAATTCAAGCATAGGAATACAATGCAGTTCAAATATATGAGTCAGTTAATAAAAAAACACCTGTTTTCAATCATTCAGTGTTGCCTGGAAATGTTTATTTTTGTGTGTGTGAATCATTCTAATTATTCTTTTTACTGTTAGATGTGTCCTGATGTTCCTGTCCTGGGAGAAGCCTGTGATGACGGACAACTGGAAGACTGTCCAGACTTCAAACCAGACCAGACAGAGTGATGAGTTTGTACAGGTGAGATGATGCTTTACAACTTGCATGTTTCTTTCTCCTCTGATGTGTTAAGAACTTGAGGCAATAAACAATACAACCTATAACGTGTTTGAGGCCCTGTTCATGATTCAAAATTTGTTGCAAATCGATTTGAATTGGAGAAATGAATCCAATACACTATTTGGGCACATGAACGCTACATTTCGGTTCCGTTGAGATTTATTTTTAACCACCTTGCGAGGTGGTCTGAAGAAATATAATGTTTCGTGTTCGTCGAATTGTGATCATTAACGTGCAGAAGCGAGTCATTCCGAGTTGACGCTGTACACCCGGGAATGTGGGGTCAGTCATAGTTCACAGTGTGGCTTTTTGTACCGCAGATTTTTTTTTGTTGGCAGTTAAGTTGAATGTGGTTTATAAACATAAACATGCTTGTTGTGTGACATAATTTGTTGCAAGGTCAATAGCTGTTTTCACACAATGACTTTTGTTTCTCTGTCTTCAAGATGTGGACCTGGAGACGGGAGGATCAGAACCCGACTTTTATCGGCGCAG